TAAAAATTGTCATGTTTTTCAAGTAGAACACTTTATTATGCATCAGAAAGTCTATAATAAGCTGGGCACAGTGGCTCATGCCTGTAATTCCAGCACTTTGGGAAGCTGAGACAGGAAGGTCACCAGAGGCCAGGAGTTCTAGACCAGCCTGGCCAACACGGCAAAAAACCGTCTCAACTAAAAATACAAAATATTAGCCAAGTGTGGTGGTGGGCACCTGTAATCCCAGCTACTTGAGAGGCTGAGGCAGGAGAATTGCTTGAACCTGGGAGGCAGAAGCTGCAGTGAGTCGAAGTCATGTCATTATACTCCAACCTAGGCAACAAGAGCGAAACTCCATCTCAAACAACAATAAAAAAGTCTATAGTATGTGTACTGACATTAGACAACAAAGGTTAAACCTTAATTCAGGTTAAACACATTTATTTTCTATCAATCAATAATAAACAGCAGTTTTAGAATTTTTAGAGTTTATTCTTCTTTTAAATGTGAATCTCTCCCTCTTGCTTCTTCTGGAACTCTAATTGTACATATTTTAGAACTAAATGGTCCCTAGGATTGCTCATTTCTTTATATCTTTTCTTCATATTGGATAATTGGATAATTTCTATTGTCTATCTTCAAGTTCATTAATTCTTTTCTCTGTCACCTCCATTATGTTATTAAGCCCAGTCAGTGAATTTCTTTTCAGATATTTTACCTTAACTTCCAATATTTCTACTTGGTTATTTTTTATGTTTTCTATTTCTCTTCTCATATTTCCTATCTTTTTATTTTTCTTGATCTCATTGAGCACATTTATAATAGCTGCTTTAAGTCCTTGACTGATAATTCCAACATCTGAATCACTTGAGTGTTGGCCTTTCCCTTTGAAAATGGGTTATATTTTCCTTATTCTTCATTGGTTGAGCAACTTTAGATTGTATTCTGGACACTGATCCTTTTGTTTGGAAACTCTGGAATCTGTCATATTCCTCCACAGAATGCTGACGGTTTTGTTTTATCAGGCAATTAGGCAGAATAAAACTGCAGAGTCTATCACACTTTAGGTGGATGGGAAATCAAATTTCAACATAGTTCTTATTATTTAGCTGCAAGGTGCTTTGAGTTTGCCCTATGCATTACTTTAATTCAGGAATTAGCTAGAGACCCAAACAAAGTTTCCAGATGAAAGCTGGAGCTCCCCTTTTCTGGCTTTTTCCTTTCTAAGAATACAAAACTTACGTCACAGCAGTGATGGCTACCCTATGTCCTTGAAAAAAAAATTACTTGGTATAGTCTCAGAAAAAAAAAAAAAAAAGAATATGTCCTTTCGATTTTTATAGATGCTAACAGGTAAAGAAATTGCTATGGTCTGATTGTATGTGTCTCTCCCTAAAAGTCATGTGTTGGAATCCTAATCCCCAAGCTGATTTCATGTGGAAATGAAGCCTTTGGCAGGTGATTAGGTCCCAAAGGAGGTGATAAGGTGATTAAAATGGAATTAGCACCTTTATCAAAGAGGCCTGAGGGAGGATGGCTATCTTTTCCATTATATGAGGACAGAACAAGAAGGTGCCATCTATCAACCAGAATGCAGCCCCTCAACAGGCACCAACTCTACTGGTGCCTTATTCTTGAACTTGTCAGCCTCCAGAGCCATGAGAAATAAATTTCTGTTGTTGAGAAGTTACCTAGTTAATGGTGTTGTCTAATAGCAGCCTGAATAGACAAATAGCAAAATGATGCTACAAGAGGAGGGATGAGAAATGGGTGTGAGGAGAGAGATTCTGTAAGAACAAGGGACATTGCTATGTGAGGGAGTTAAGGGTAGGAGCCCATTTATGATAAGCAGCAAAATAGAATCATAGTCAGTTCCTTAGGGATATGAGAAGTAGAAGAGAGCTAAAAAAACATCAAGTAAGTACTTTGAAAAGTTGCCTGAGATGAGTGATGCTTCTGCCTACCCTCCAAGCTACATGATTACTTCTCATATTTTGTCAAATCTCCCTTATTACCACTGTCTCTCCTAGTTCTATTAGGAGAAAAGGAAAATACAGAAAAAGGTCAGCCAGTCAGCTAGTTTCACCATGATTCATACACCATGATTTATACACAGCATTCATACACACGCTACCAGAAGAAGCTGCTCAATCCTGAGATTCCCCTGTGCCTCAAGGGCTTTGCATATGTCTAAATTAGCAAAAACAATATGCAAATTCAAAGATGTAAAGATTACAGCATTAGAGCAGATTTACAATCAAGGAATCCCATTTATGAGAAAGTTTATGGTTGTTGGTGGTGGGGTAAATAAAGGAAAGGGATAGATCCTTTTGAATCTATAAAAGAGTATCAAGATTCTATAATAGATGGCACCATAAAATAACAAAGAGATATAAGAGATATGATAATGTAGACTGAAGATCTGAATTCAGACTTGCAGCTCCACTGCTAAACTTATATGTCTGTGGAGGATAAGTTACTTAAACATCAGTTGATTGATTCATAAATGTGATTTTTTTCATTAAGCTGGTACCATAAAGAAGGCACCAAGCCAAATGCTGAGGATACAGCAGGGTATAAGATAGCTATGGAACATAGGAAATTTTAATAAGTACCGACAACACAGTGAAAAGACTACAGAGGAGTAGGCATATCTGTTCTAATCTGAAAGGGTTATGGAAGGCTTTCTGGATTAATGTTAAGGTCAAACCTAAATCTGAATTGTAAATAGGCATTAGGGATCTAAAATAGGGTGGGAAGAGTACTCTAGACAGGAGTAATAGTACTTGCAAAGTCCTGCAAGTCAGTATTGTGTATCATTTAGAAAGACTAAAGAGATTATTAACTGATAATTATGGAGTCTGCAGTTTCAGACCAGTTGTTAGAGAAGTATAACATCAAGGGTAAGTAAAATGAGATAATAATCAAAGTGGACAGTAGGTTTTTTTATTAATTCAAAATATTTTTGAATAATTATTATGTGCAAGGCACTATTCTTAGTACTTGAAATATATCAATGAACAAAGCAAACCAGAGTCCCTGTTCTGATGAAGCTTATGCTCTAATACAGGGTGTGAGACAATCAACAGCAATCACAGCATAAATGATATGGTGCATTAGAACATGGTAAGGGCTGTGGGTCTGGTGGACTGGAGTCCAGGTGGATGGGGGGTATTTTAAGAAGAGTAGTCAAGAATTGCTTCAGTGAGCTGGTGGTGATTGGGCAAACACTTGAAAGAGAAGAGGAAGTGAGCTTTGCAATTACTCAGACACAGCACATTCCAGGCAGACAGAAGAGCCAGCACAAAAGCACTGATAAGGATTGTGACTGGTATGCTCTAAAACAGCAAGAAGCTGGTTGTGGCAGAACAAGCAGGCAAAGGGCTGAGTAATGTGAAATGAAGAGAGACAATGAGAGGTAGAGGGAGACCTTGTGGGATCTTGTAGGCTACTATGAGAATTCATGAAGAAGATGCCAAAAGCAATTGCAATAGAAGCAAAAAATGACAAATGGGACCTAATTAAACTGAAGAGCTTTTCCATAGCAAAAGAAACTACCAACAGAGTAAGCAGACAACCTACAGAATGGAAGAAAATCCTTGTAAACTATGGATCTAACAAAGGTCTAATATCCGCCATCTATAAGAAATTTAAATTTACAAGAAAAAAACAACCCCATTAAAAAGTGGGCAAAGGCCGGGCACAGTGGCTCATGCCTGTAATCCCAGCACTTTGGGAGGCCGAGGCGGGTGGATCATGAGGTCAAGAGATCGAGACCATCCTGGTCAACATGGTGAAACCCCGTCTCTACTAAAAATACAAAACATTAGCTGGGCATGGTGGCACGTGCCTGTAATCCCAGCTACTCAGGAGGCTGAGGCAGGAGAATTGCCTGAACCCGGGAGGCGGAGGTTGTGGTGAGCTGAGATCGTGCCATTGCACTCCAGCCTGGGTAACAAGAGTGGAACTCTGTCTCAAAAAAAAAAAAAAAAAAAAAAAAAAAGTGGGCAAAGGATGTGAACAGACACTTCTCAAAAAATGACATATAACGTCAACAATCTTATGAAAAAAACTAAACAGCACTGATTGTTAGAGAAATGCAAATCAAAATCACAGAGATACCATCTCACACCAGGGGTCTAGGCTTAATACCTGGGTGATAAAATAATCTGCACAACAAACCCCCATGATACACATTTACCTGTGTAACAAACCTGCACATGTACCCCTGAACTTAAAAGTATATTTTTTAAAAAAGAAAGAAAAAAATGGCATGGGTCTGAAATAATTTCTGCAGGTGGAGACTGAGCCTGACCTCACATGAAAAAATAGATTAGGCAACTGCTATGCAAATTCAAGCAGAGTCAAGTTGCAATAGACCTTGAGGGCCAAATCTGCATAAATTTCTCTTCTTTCTCTAACTTTCATTTGTGTGGAAATGTGGAAAAAATAAATAGCCTCCCAGACTGAAGGATTTTGAAGGCTAGTACTCTGGCTTTGGAAAAAAAGGTAACAAGAAAACAAGAGAGTATAACGTCATGGGAAAACACTCTGGGGTAAGGATAGAGAAAGTACAGTGAAAACAGGAGGAGTCTAGTAGTTTTAAGTAAATATTAAATGATGTGGCACAAAAATGTTAAATTATATTGCAAATACCTAATGATTACTCATAATTTAGTTTTTGATAATTTAGTCTTCAAAAAGATACTTTTTCTGGGTTAAAAATCACATTTGCTTTCATTCCTAGACAAAATAACTATTTAGAGAATATTTCTCTAGATGCTACCTACAAGTGCTGCCTAGATGCCCTTGGGTGGATTCTCCTTCTGGTTCAGCAGTCAGTAGCTCAGCTGCAGGCACTTTTTTGTCCCCTGTGACTAAGTGGAAACTTTGAAAGGTCTGTAGTTTTTTGAAAAAGATGGAATTTTTTTGAATTTGTAACCTCAACCACTTAAGAAGTTGAATTTAACTTCACAGATCATTTTACAGAAAATAAAACATCAAGTACTCACAAGATTGAATTTCAGGAAAGCCTTCTTGGATGCAAGATAAAGGCGGGGTGTAAAGTGAAAACAAAAGTAGCTGGAGTTAGGTCATTTGATTTTACACCCTGTACTCAAGACTGCTTCTCTCTGCGGACTGCAACAGGTTGGTACTTTCTTTCTTTTCTCATTCTGACTTGAATATATATTTTTTGAGCCCAAAGACCTTCTACATTTACCTATATAGAGGGAATCTTGATGCATAAATATTTAAATGCTTGTTTTAAAAAAAGAGTTATTTGAAAACAGCTGTATAACTTTAAATGAAAAGCTTAATGTAGCAAGAAGAAAATATGATTTTAAATACCAGTACTTGTCAGTAAAACTTTATTAACGAGAAAATAGGTTTTGTTATACCAGTTGTTTTTTTTTTTTTTTTGCTTTCTTTTATAAGTACTGATTTTTTTTTTTTTTTTTTTTTGGTTCTAGTAGTAATTATAGACACTTAAAAGTGCATCTGTGTATCTGCCAGGAGGATCATTTCTGCAAATAATTCCATTTCTATTCTTATTTACTCACATTTTTAGTAAGATTAATTCTTACTTAAAAATCCCCTTCCTTAATATATTATAATATTTGGCCATTATTCCTTATCATCAGGTTTAAGGTTTTCTGATGAAAGAGAAAGGAAGAACAAGGTTCACATTGTGTTAATAATTAACGCATAAGAACATAAAGTAGTCTTACTATGCGCAAAGCATGTGTAAGCAGTCTTCCAGATTGGAACTTTTTAAGTAACCTTAATGATAAAAAGAGTCATTTAAAAAAGTTGGCACCTAGTTTTTTTTTTCTTTCTTTTTTTTTAATTGAATTTTAGGTTTTGGGGTACATGTGAAGAACACGCAAGATTGTTGCATAGGTACACACATAGCAGTGTGATTTGCTGCCTTCCGTCCCCTCACCTGTATCTGTCATTTCTCCCCATGCTATCTCCCTAGTTTTTATATAATGAAAGCAATTCTTCTATGTGGTATCTTTCTCCAGAGCCTTCTTTTCTTTGCTATATTCATTCAAAAAAAGTTAGCAAGCATAAGAATGTTCTTTAGTTGGCACACTGTTTTGAAAATAATATTTTCATTATTGATTCTATAAGAATATTTGAAATTCTTCAAAGGACAAAAACAACTCAAGGAAGACAGAAAGGCTAAAAGGAATGAAAAATTCAGCACTATAATAAAATCACTAAGAGTCATTATTTTATACGTTCCAAAACTTAGGAATTCTGTGCAAGCTTATTTTAATACTATGGGTTGCTAGTAGCCAGTATAGTGCAATAACAATGTTGACAGAGAAGATTGCTGGCATACTATCTATCCATTCTATCTATTCTAGAATAACAGCTTTATATCTGCTGGCAAAACTAATTTGACAAATATTTACTGAGAAGCTACTGTGTGCCAGGCATATTAACAAGATTTTCTTTTTTTTTTTTTTTTTGAGACGGAGTTTCGCTCTTGTTACCCAGGCTGGAGTGCAATGGCGCGATCTCGGCTCACCGCAACCTCCGCCTCCTGGGCTCAGGCAATTCTCCTGCCTCAGCCTCCTGAGAAGCTGGGATTACAGGCACGCACCACCATGCCCAGCTAGTTTTTTTGTATTTTTAGTAGAGACGGGGTTTCACCATGTTGACCAGGATGGTCTCGATCTCTCGACCTCGTGATCCACCCGCCTCGGCCTCCCAAAGTGCTGGGATTACAGGCTTGAGCCACCGCGCCCGGCCTCAAGATTTTCTTTACAAACACAAATCAAGTAGGCATGCTTTGAGGAGTTTAGAACCTAGCGGAACAAGGTAGTATGGGAAATGTATCCTTTCCATAGGATGGGATCGGTTCTCAGAGGGGTATGTAGAGATTGCTAATACATCAGGAAAGTCTTCTGGGGAGGGGGCATCCATGTTAATTGAGTAGGAATTGGCCCTTCCAGGGGAGGGCAGGAAATCATATGATAGATAAAGGAACAGTACGAGCAATGATGTAGACAGATGCTGTTGCATGGTGAGTGGCAGTCCACTGCTGATAAATTAGTCCTATCACCATCTACAGAGTGGACACAGAGTAGGGGGAGGTGGCAGAAGCCACGGGTGTTATGCTAAGGAGCTTGGATTGTGGCTTTCAGGTGAAGAGGTGTGCTTTCCAGATAAGGAGCAAAGCAGAGAAGACACAGATTGGCAATTTAGAGATCAAACACTCTGGTGAAAATAAGAAAAATGTTTTTGACAAGGAGGTATTGAGGAGGAGTAACAACAGGAAACCAGTTAGACAGATACTGCTTGGCCAGGTGAGATGGCTCATGCCTGTTATCCCAACACTTTGGTAGGCCAAGGCAGGTGGATTGCTTGAGCCCAGGAGTTTGAGACCAGCCTTGGCAACTTGGTGAAACCCCATCTCTACCAAAAATACAAAAATTAGCCAGTCTCATAACTTGATCTCAAAATAAATAAATAAATAAATAAATAAATAAATAAACAAACAGATTGAAATTTAAAAATAAAATAAAATATTTTTTAAAAAAGGAACTAGCAGTAGGCCAGGTGAGAAACATAATCGTTGAATTGTGCCAATGTGTGGAAGAGTGCAGACTGAGAAGACAGATTCAAGACCTATTTGGAAGGCAGAATCAGAACTTAGGAACTGATTGGGAATCAGAGATGAAGGTAAGAGAGAAGACAAGAACGAAGCAGGCTTACAGCTTAGTTGACTAGAGGATAGTGGTGCTACTAAAACAGTATACAATAAGCAAGTAGTGACCAGTTTTGGAGGGCAGTTGGCTAAAGGAGATCTAGTTTTATAAAAGGCAACTACTGAAATTAAGTACAAATGCTGAGAGAATGTATTTAATTTAATTTAAATTTAATTTATAAATAACATAAAGATAAAAAATAAATTTATTTTAAGTAAACCAAATAATTTACTTATTTTCATTTTTATTCAATGTATTGCATATATATATATATATATATACACACACACACACATATATATACACGCATATATATACATATATATATATATATTTTTTTTTTGAGACAGAGTTTTTGCTTTTGTTACCCAGGCTGGAGTGCAATGGTGGGATCTTGGCTCACTACAAGCTCCACCTCCCGGGTTGAAGCAATTCTCCTGCCTTAGTTTCCTGAGTAGCTAGGATTACAGGCATGTGCTACCACACCCAACTAATTTTTTATTTTTAGTAAAGACAGGGTTTCTCCATGTTGATCAGGCTGGTCTCGAACTCCTGACCTCAGGTGATCACACCCACCTCGGCTTCCCAAAGTGCTGGGATTACTTCGTGAGCCACCACACCCAGTTTATTGCAGATATACTTTGAGATTCACAGAATTATGTATGTAAAGATTATAACACTATTCTTTTTAGTTAAAATCTAATTAAATTTTCATATTTTAAAAATCATTTTTACATAAAAGTCTTTTATTTAGGATTTAATGATTAAGAAAATTCTCCAGGGCATTATGTTTATTGTCCTGTGCAAATCCCAGCTCTTTCACACAGAATTATAAAAGTAAAGCATGAGTAACTAATCTTGGGGTCATATTCCAAAGTGGCTCCCATTAAAGTGTTTCAGAGTGGCAGATTCAGGCTCACATATGTTACAGCAGTAGTCGATTCTCTAGGAAAGAATAAAACAGCTTGATGGAAACTGCTTCCTTTTATTTTTAGTTTTATTTATTTATTTATTTTTGCAATGGAATCTTGCTGTGTCACCTAGGCTGGAGTGCAGTGACACGGTCTTGGCTCATTACAACCTCTGCTTCATGAGTTCAAGCAATTCTCCTGCCTCAGCATCCTGAGTAGCTGGGACTACAGGCAAGTGCCACTACGCCTGGTTAATTTTTGTATTTTTACTAGAGATGGGGTTTTGACATTTTGGTCAGGCTGGTCTTGAAGCCGTTTTGGCCTCACAAAGTGCTGGGATTACAGGCATGAGACACAATGCCCTGCCAAAAACTGTTTCCTTTTCAGCATATTTAGACAAATATACATTCTGTATTCTCTTTGCCATTTAGATTGGAACCATGTCTTTGGAACAGAACCAGTCAACAGATTATTATTATGAGGAAAATGAAATCAATGGCACTCATGACTACAGTCAATATGAATTGATCTGTATCAAAGAAGACGTCAGAAAATTTGCAAAAGTTTTCCTCCCTGTATTCCACACAATAGCTTTCATCATTGGACTTGCAGGCAATTCCATGGTAGTGGCAATTTATGCCTATTACAAGAAACAGAGAACCAAAACAGATGTGTATATACTGAATTTGGCTGTGGCAGATTTGCTCCTTCTATTCACTCTGCCTTTTTGGGCTGTTAATGCAGTTCATGGGTGGGTTTTAGGGGAAATAATGTGCAAAATAACTTCAGCATTGTACACAGTAAACTTTGTCTCTGGAATGCAGTTTCTGGCTTGTATCAGCATGGACAGATATGTGGCAGTAACTAAAAGCCCCAGACAATCAGGAGTGGGAAAAGCATGCTGGGTGATCTGTTTCTGTGTCTGGATGGCTGCCATCTTGCTGAGTATACCCCAGCTGGTTTTTTATACAGTAAATGACAATGCTAGGTGCATTCCCACTTTTCCCCACTACCTAGGAACATCAATGAAAGCATCAATTCAAATGCTAGAAATCTGCGTCGGATTTGTAGTACCCTTTCTTATCATGGGGGTGTGCTACTTTATCACAGCAAGGACACTCATGAAGATGCCAAACATTAAAATCTCTCAGCCCCTCAAAGTTCTGCTCACAGTGGTTATAGTTTTCATTGTCACTCAGCTGCCTTATAACATTGTCAAGTTCTGCCGAGCCATAGACATCATCTACTCCCTGATCACCAACTGCAACATGAGCAAACGCCTGGACATTGCCATCCAAATCACAGAAAGCATTGCACTCTTTCACAGCTGCCTCAACCCAATCCTTTATGTTTTTATGGGAGCATCTTTCAAAAACTACATTATGAAAGTTGCCAAGAAGTATGGGTCCTGGAGAAGACAGAGACAAAGTGTGGAGGAATTTCCTTTTGATTCTGAGCATCCTACAGAGCCAACCAGTACCTTTAGCATTTGAAGGTAAAACTGCTCTGCCTTTTGCTTGGATACATAGGAATGATGCTTCCCCCTCAAATAAAACATCTGCATTATTCTGAAACTCAAATCTCAAATGTCATGGTTGCAACTTACAATAAAGAATGAGTCAGGGGAAGGGGGAGAATAAAAGCCAAGAAGAGGAAACAAGATAATAAATGTACAAAATATGAAAATTAAAATAAACAATATAGGAAAATAGCAGTATTGGGCATAAGTGAATAAAAACAATCTGCTGTAAAGAAGAAGAGTTTCGTGGTGATAGAATAGTTTTGTATGTTGGCTGCAGTGGTGGTTATACAAATCTACACAAGTGATAAAATGACACAGAACTGTACATATACATTGTACCAATTTTAATTTTCTGGTTTTGACAATGGGGGAAACTGGATGAAGGGTACCCAGGAACACTCTGTACCATCTTTGTAACTTCCTGTGAATTTATAATAATTTCAAAATAAAAGAAGTTAAACAAACAAACAAACCTACTATGCTATAAGTTAGGCCATCTAAAACAGATTATTAAAGAGGTTCATGTTAAAAGGCATTTATAATTATTTTTAATTATCTAAGTTTGAATATAAGAACTATTTCCCTGCATAATTGTAGTACTTGAATAACTATGCAGCAGAACTCTATCTTTTCTTTTCCTGTTTTGTTGGTTTTAAGTAATTTTATAAAATCCACCTCCTCCAAAACAACAACAGCTAAAACTATAATAGGCTTTTCTGATCCTTTTCAAAAAATTCCTGGTAAGTTCCTAAAGACAGAATTTGCTTCTATGATATAAACTTTCTTAGTAATAACTGGTTATCCTGAAAAATGTTAGGTTTATCATGTATAGTCTAGGTGTAATCCTCAGATTATCATTTGTATCTGCATTGCAATTAAAGAACTTATCCATTTATATGAGTCTATTACTGAGGGTTGACTAAAACATATATTAGCCCATGCATAAAGTATCCCAATTTTCATTTAAACACTTTCTTTTTGAGTAATTAAAATATGTACAATAAATTAATGTTAATAACATATACAGCTTATCATTTAAAAAATATTTGCTGTAAATTATTGTAATCCATGTAATATGCTCCTACTAAAATTAAATTTTCCTAGCAATTACATTGGGCAAAAATAGTATGCACTAATGAATTTTATCTCTAAAACTACAAAAAATGTCATGTTTTCTGCTCTTAAATATCACCTAACCAAGATAAGTTATTTTAAGATTACTTTTTCTTCAAACACTATTTCTAAATTTGAAAATGCTTTCACATGCAAAATTAATTAACTAATTAATTTTTCATTTTTTTGAGATGAGGTTTTGCTTTTGTTGCTCAGGCTGAAGTGCAGTGGCACCATGATGACTCACAGCAACCTCCGCCACCAGGGTTCAAGTGAGTCTCCTGCCTCAGCCTCCCGAGCAGCTGAGATTACAGGTCCCTGCCCCCATGCCCGGCTAATTTTTATATTTTTAGTAGAGACAGGGCTTCACCATGTTGGCCAGGCTGGTCTCAAACACCTGGCCTCAGGTGATCCACCAGCCTCAACCTCCCAAATTGCTGGGATTACAGGTGAGAGCCACCATGCCTGGCCTACACATGCAGAATTTAAAGAATTATGATCATGAAAGTGATCACTATTTATCATAGCATTATTCTACCATAGCATCTAGCAGAAAGGATCAGTGTGTTAGGTGAAAAAATTAAAGTGAACACTCACCACTGCTCCACCATTTCTTGCCATTAATTACGTAGCTATCACCATCTCGTTGGATGCTGCATTCAATATTTGTGGCATCACTTGAAGCTACATCAGGCTCTATAAATAAACAAAGGCTGAATTTACAGACAGGCAGATATCATCAGTAGATTTAGGTAAAGATATGAAAACTTTAAAAACAAAGGCATCTTTATCTTTTTCAATTTCCTGTTATTCCAGATTCCACCCTGCTTTTTCCATAGCCTACACACAGTAGGTGTTCAACAAATGTGCACTGGAAGAATGAGTGAATGAATGAAGTATCTCGAACATTGGGGATCAGTATTTTGAGCTGTTATTTTTGGCTCTTCATTGATATATGACTTGGTATACAACTCAGTCCTTTCTCCAATCAGCAAAAGTAGATAAAAGTATTGTTTTCTATTTCTCACAATGGAGATATATACTAACTATTGATTGGCAAGACAGACTCCCCCCAACCCATATAGTTTACTCTCTTATGCAATTTCTAATGTGCCTTGCAAATTCCATCAGGAATGCTTTCATTGATTTATATACTTTGCATTCTTTAAAGCCTGTTCAACATTTAAGGTCTTCAAAAAGTTTTCCATGGGACACCCTTAGACAACTGCTTAACTGCATGGCACTTCAGAACTGTCTAGCTCTCAATCATAGCAATCTGCACTTGTTAATATGACACTCACTTAAATGAGTCCTTCAGATATCCTATGTGTTCTGTTTCTAAAAACTTGAGACTCAGTCTTTTTTTTAAGAGGGCTGCGTATTCTACTTGTTTTGTAACCTCCACCTAGTGCTTTGTAGACAATACATCATGGTGTAGATATTCAATAAATTCCTATTACTGATTTAAATGGAGATCAGTTCTGCTACTATAGTAGTCCCCTGTTGCCTGTAGTTTTGCTATCTGAGGTTTCAGTTATGAGAGGTCAACTACATTCTAAAAATAATAAATTAAAAATTCCAGAAGAAACAATTCAAAATTTTTAAATTACGTACCCTTCTGAGTATTGTTATAATTGTTCTATTATTAGTTATTATAGTCTAAATAAAGTTCAGGACTATCCCCAGTTTTCAGACACCAGCTGGGTGTCTTGGAATGTATCCCCTTCAGATAAAAGAGGACTACTGTATAAATATATGCAATGTTACAGAAAACACAAAATCTGGCCATTATTGATGGCACTTAAAAATTATGGCCAAGCAAAATATTTTTTAATTCTAAACTAAATAACAAAACAATGATTTTTTTTCTATATTGAAGAGTTCTTAATGTTTCCTAGGTACTAATGATGTCAAATCTGTTTTTATTAACATGTTCATTTTCCCACATGATTATAATTTGCGCCATATGTCCAGTCCTGGTGAAAGTTCTATTTTTCTGTTTATATTTTTTGAGTTGAGTATTTTATAAGTATCAATATAAAATTAACACAAAGATAGATATTTTATACATAAGGGCAAAAAAGATATTAAATATTCACAGATAGCAATTTTAGAAATGACATCAAGAGATTATGAAACTAACTTTACCCTGCTGCTAATGCGATGGCAGGCTACTAGAGAACATCATTTGATATTCTGCCAAAGGAGAGAATAATTTTTTTCTGCACATTTGAAAATGCCAACATTTAGTAACAGGCTCAAAATAAACATACTCACGTTTTTGGCCAATGGCAAATTTGACTGAAATACAGAATCACATCTTATGTTTCTTCAGCTTATCCACAGTAATTCCATATGACTGACTACACAAGGGGAGAATGGTGATTTGTATTTACCTGTCATACAGAAGCAAGAGGTAATGTCCCCTTTAAGAAGAGGCTCAAGCCACTGTTTCTTCTGTTCCTCACTTCCATACAGGTGCAGAACCTCCATGTTCCCTGTGTCTATACAGAAGAAAGAGTATTTGTTTTGCATCTGAAATTTTATCAATATGAAATACATAACTTTATGTAGACAGTACAGACATGCATCTTTTTGAAGCAAATGTTTGGTAACAAAAATATTTTAAAACATACAGTAAATATAATTTACACTGATGGCAAGTAATAAATATTCACAAGTACATGGCATTTGGTGCATATTTATTCAACTTGTTCTGAATCACAGACTCTTCTTCAGTTCATCCCAAAGAAGAATGGTTCTAAGGAAGATTAACTCAGTTAGAACTGAAAGAAACACTTTACTGGCCTAAACCTTGCCTGCCATATTGCAAATATGCCCTGTTAGGAGTGATTGCAATGCTCCTGGAGAACAATCAGTATTGCATGTCCTACTGAGACTCCAGCCCTTAATTCTATCTGCTGTTCCCCAAACATACCCTGTGCTTTCTAATTTCTACATATTTGCCTGGGCCAGACCTTTTCTCAAGTGAAATTCTCCCTGTCCTTCACAAGTAAATTCCTGCTTATGAGCCACCTCCTCTGCAAAGAATCTCTGATTACCTAGTCAGTAATACCTCCTTCTTCCGAACTCACATAACAATTATTTCTTTTTACCCATAACATTGTTCTTACTTTTATGCATCCCATACTACCTAGAAAATACAAGATAATTTCTCAAGGATGCTAAAGATAGAATCCCTACCCTGAAAAGAAAATGTCAATGGATAACCTCAAAGACCCTCTCTGACCTTTGGAGGGTATTGTTTATAGTACATGATACACTGTAGTTATCACCCTTGGTTAACAAAGAATTCTTCATGTCTGCCATGGAGCAAAATTCTCTAGGTGGCTTCCTCTGATTTTCCATTCCTGTCAAATTTATAAAAATACTGTCTAAAACCTTTCTCTTGAGTGTTGATTACTCAGAATATAGTTACTGAAATGCTTATGAAAATTGAGTTGTGTAAGTTAAATCTCTCAAGATGTCTGCACTCTGTTCAGGCACTCCTAACAGAGCCAACATTATGTCAAGATTCACAAAATTCCTTGTAGATTAACACAGCTTAACATTCTTCTCAAGTGAGGGAGAAAATAAGTCCTGACTTAAAATTTATGAAGTTCATTGCTTGTTTTCTTTGCCTGTTTTAAATTCACTGTTACTTGCTATAGTTCAAATAAGGTAAATATTAAATTTGAAATTTTCAAAAATGGTCAGTTTCTTCCAAAAAGCTCACAAAATTATCATTTATGGGTTGGAAAAAAAAGATAAACTACACCAACAGAAAAATTATTCCCCATTAAAAAAATATCAGCCCAGCTCTCTAGGTTCGTCTTCTCTGGGCAGGATATCTCTGAAAGAAAGGCTGAGCAGCCCAGTCAGGGGCTTATAGATAAAAATACCATCTCCCTAAGACAGAGCACCTAGGGGGAATGAGCGGCTGTGGGTGCAGCTTCAGCAGACTTAAATGTTCCTACCTGCCAGCTCTGAAGAGAGCAGTGGATCTCCTAGCACAGCGATTGAGCTCTGCTAAGGAACAGAGCTGCCTCAAGTGGATCTGCCTACTCAAGTGGGTCCCTGACCCCCATGCCTACTGACAGGGAGATACCTCCCAGCAGGGGTCAACAGACATCTCATATAGGAGAGCTCTGGCTGGCACCTGGCAGGTGCCCCTCTGGGACGTAGCTTCCAGAGGAAGGAACAGGTAGCAATCTCTGCTCCTCTAAAGCCTCTGCTGGTGATACCCAGGCAAACAGGGTCTGGAGTGGATCTCTAGCAAACTACAGCAGACCTGCAGCAGAGGAACCTGTTAGAAGGAAAACTAACCAACAGAAAGGAATCACATCAACATCAACAAAAAGGACATCCGCACAAAAACCCCATCTGAAGGTCACCAACCTCAAAGACCAAAAGTAGCTGAATCCATGAAGATGAGAAAAAAAAAAATGCAAAAAGGCTGAAAACTTCCAAACACCAGAAGGCATCTTCTCCAAAGGTGCTCAACTCCTTGCTAGCAAGGGAACAAACTGGACAGAGAATGAGTTTGATGAACTGACAGAAGTAGGCTTCAAAAGGTGAGTAATAACAA